CAAGTGCCTTACTAGTAGTAACAATGTTCGCTATTAGTAACAAGTGCATCGCTACTAGTAACAAGTGCCTTACTAGTAGTAACAAGTGCATCGATTTAATTTCTCACACTAGACTCCGGAGTGGGTCTAAAGCACGCCTCTTGGAGCTTTTGCGATGATGTTTGGAACGAATCCTGCACCACCTAGAACCGCAACAAACACGTTGGAGTCTTCTTTACCTCCGGTGCCGAAGTTCTTCTTCGACTGAAAACCTGTTAATCTGTGCATCTTCGCTTTGGCCCTTCTGTCTTTACCATTTGATTAGAAACGGGTGACGTGTCTTTCTCTGATTCCTCGTTTTGGGCTGTTCTTGATAGTTCGTTTTCCAAATAGCCATCCTCAAGGGACTTCTCCCCGTCACCATCCATGTCGGCAAAGCTATGACCAATGTACATGCCTCAGCAAAGAACAGTTGAAAAAGTTGTCATTGAAAAGGCTCGTTTGCTCGTTTCTTTTTTCGAACAGTTTTCACGAGACCAACAGCAATGGTCCGTTGGAATGACAGAAGAAACACACAACTTGCCGAGGGAGACGCCAGTGATTCTGTCGAGATGAGGCATATCTAAGTCGGCCAGTTTCTTGGCTATGGCCTGGCAAAAAAAAAAAAAAACAATAAGTCTAAGTGTCTGATTTTGCGCAGAATTTATACGAAGAAAGAAAGAACAGAAGGTAAGGAAGAGGTTCCTAGTAGCGATGCCAGGAGCTCCTAGTAGCGTCCTTATGGAAGAGGCCTGGACTTTTGTTCCAACGTCCTCACAATATCGCACCTCCTCCTCAGTCCCAGCAGGCTTTTGACGGGCCTGAGTGACTTTTAATGTTTCGAGCTTCCCCAACCGAAGTCTCACTCGTTTTTTAAACCTTTTTTAGACGTTTTAAAACTGATGTTATCTTAATTAGACCCTCTCTGCTTTTTTCTTTGGACCTTGAAAGGCAGACCGTTCAAACTCCAAAGCCGCCTGTGCTGCTTCGTTGGCTGCATTCACCATTGAAGCCTGCCGTTGAGGCCATCGCTCTTAGTTTGGACGCTACGAACGGGGCGCTCCTGGCCTTACTACTAGAAGCAAGGACGCTAGTAGGTTGGAGAGGCCATTGCTATGTGTAACTCAAAAGAATTGTTCGTATCACTTCAAGTCACAGCGGAAAGAAATTGGATGACAAACGTCTGTGAATTCAACTACCTCAGGAACTGAAAACCTGTCTTCCATTTTTTGGTGTTGTTTTGTCACTATTATGTTCTTCGTTATTTCTTTGTCCGTTTTTTTGGAAATTGATTCCCTTTCTTTCGTTATACAATTAGTTGACCTTTTCTGCTGTTCTTTCTCTATCCCCTTTTCTGTAGGCCGTTCGTCCAGTTCATTCTGTATGTCTTTTTCGTAAGTGCTTTTCCCTTTCTTCCGTTGTATGTTCTTTTCTTTTGACCTTTCTGCTGTTCTTTCGTTATCCCCTTTCTTCCTTTAGACCTTTCTGTTTTTTGGTTGCTTTCCCTCTACTTTTTACAATGTTTGGTGTGCTTTTGTTATGCAATTTCTTTTTTGACCTGTTTGCTTGTCTTTCTTCTGTAAACCCTTCTTCTGTGTGGCTTTATCCCTTTGATTGTTGGAAGTGTCTTCCCGTTCTTTCGTTATAACTTGTTGGACCTTTCTGATGTTTTTTCTTTACCCCTTTTGTCGACCTTTCTTCATGTCCTTTATCCCTTGTTCCTTCAGACCGTCCTTCTTCTTTCTCTATTCTTTTCGTCCTTGCTCCTAGTAGCGATGCCAGGAGCCCCTAGAAGCGTCCTTGCTCCTAGTAGCGATGCCAGGAGCCCCTAGAAGCGTCCTTGCTCTTAGTAGCGATGCCAGGAGCCCCTAGTAGCTTCTTGTAAGTTATTCCCGTTCTTTCGTTGTACCTTTCTTCTTTTCACCCTTTGCCCCTTAGACCTTTCATCCTTCTTGTTGGTTTATCCCTTTTTCTTTAGACCCTTCTTCCTTTTCTCTATTTATACTTTTTTTAGACCTTTCTGCTGTTCTGTTTTTCTCTCTCTCTCTCTATCTTTGCAACTTTCTTAGTTTTGATTGTTATTCCGTTTCTACATTATGTCTTCCGTTTTGATCTTCCCTTTCTTTTTTGGGCCTTCTCTTTAGAACGTTCTTCATTTTCTTTATTTGTCCGTAGACACTTCTGCCGTTCTTTCTGCATGCCTTTTTCTTTGGCATAAAAGACGTGTCTTTCTCGAAACCAGCCTCTTACTTACTTACTCAGCCTCCTACTCGAACTTGCTCGTTGCTTTTCCCAGACATCGCCTTTTCCCCTGGCCACGCTTCGATGCTGAAATCGAGGCATGGGCCCAAAGTTCGCGACCTGACCGACACGTCGATTTCACAAAGAAGCTCAAGAACTGTGACCAACCTACTAGCCAATGGCCTTCAACCTAGTGTCCTTGCTCCTAGTAGCGATGCCAGGAGCCCCTAGTAGCGTCTTTCCTCCTACTAGCCAATGGCCTTCAACCTACTAGCGATGGCCTTGACTTCTTGACACTCCTCTTTCTTTGAATCTGGGTTCGAAACTTCTCCACCGACCAAGCACTGCTACAAAAAGGCTGCGTCCTCGGTGTGGTTCTTTCGAAAGACGCAGATAGAATCGGGATGAATTGGGGAGGGCCGCAGAAACAAGTAGAAATTAGAAGAAACGAAAGAAAGGTCTGGCTCTCTTTCAAAGAGTTAGACATGTAACATGTATTTTGAAGGACCCAGGTAGTTCTGGAGACCTAAGGTCAGAGTTGGGGAAAGACCTACAAAAGACTTAAACGAACCTGTTTAAGGTAGTTTAAGACCTAATCTTTAAGACCTAAAATGTGTCCTAGAATTAACAATCTTTCATAGGGAAGGAGCTGCTTCCGAATGATCTTTTAACAACTTTTTCAGGAGGTTGCTGCCTCTTGTAAAGTTGAAAGCGCTCTGGTGCGCAAAGTGCAAGGCCGAAGTGAAAAGCAACAAATAGTGAAGAAAGACATCGCTACTAGGAACAAGTGCATCGCTTCTAGTAACAAGTGCCTTACTAGTAGTAACAAGGACGCTACTGGGGGCTCCTGGCATCGCTACTAGGAACAAGGAAGCTACTAGTGACAAAGGGCATCGCTACTAGGAGCGATCGGACGCTCAACTGCTTCGCTTCGCCAGTTTCAGGCGAGTTCAGATAGGAATAGAAGAAGCACGAAAGACACGCCTTCGTGGGGAAGCTTTGGGAAGCTAGCAAGCGTTCTTGTTTCAAGGAACGAGCAAGAGAAGGAAATCTCCAAATGAATAATGTTGCTAGTAGTAGCTTCTTGTTACTAGTACCAAGTGCATTGCTACTAGTAAAAAGTGCATATGAACTTTGTTACTAGTAGCGATGCATCATGTTAACGGTTCAAGGAAGCGCTCCCACTGCTCTCTCTGAGTCTTTCTACGTTCCAGCCTGGTAGTTTCCTGGATCTTATTTGTCAACTATTCTTTAGCTACTAGCGGCCTACGCCCTGCTCCCAAAAAAAGAAAAAAATTGAAGCACAAGAAAAAAGAAAGATTGTGAGGAGATTCACTTCCTTGCTTCAAAAAGGACAAACAAGCAGTATAAAAAAGATATAGGAAGAAAGGTCTAAAAAAAACCTAAAAGGAATTGCCTTCAACCTACTAGCGATGGCCTCCAACACAAGAGAAATAAAGGCAGAGCGCAACTGTCTCATCCAAAAAATTGAGTCGCCCGGAAGCACCAGAGAACAGTTATTGCAAGTACCAATATAAAAAGAAACCCTGTGAAACTGTTGAGAACAAATAGTTCAAAAAAGTCTTAAAAGTCTTGAATACATAGATTTTGGTTCAAGAGAGTCCACGGCCATTTCATAAAACAACAAGTTCATTGAGCGGGTGAAGAGAAACTGTTCAAAGCCGGGAAGCCTGGTCTGCCGAGTTAGGGATGGCAAACCTGCACCCATAGCATCACATCGACCATCAAGTGAAGCCCAACATAACACGTCTGACATGATTCAATCCAAGAAGGGATTTTAAAAATATTGGAAGAAATACTGTCATTCAACTAGTAACTAGGAACAAGAAGCTACTAGGAGCAAAGGGCATCGCTACTAGGAGTGATCGGACGCTACGAATGGGGCTCCTGGCCTTACTACTAGTAACAAATGGAAGAAATGCTGTCATTTTCACACAAATGATTTTCCTACTAGGAACAAGAAGCTACTAGGAACAAGTGCATCGCTTCTAGTAACAAGTGCCTTACTAGTAGTAACAAGGACGCTACTAGGAACAAGAAGCTACAAATGATTTTCATCACACAAAAATGGGCCAGGCCAGGTGAAGAGGCCGTCAACGGAGGCAGCACGACGCCCGAGCGAGACTTCTTCAACCTCGAGTTCAGTCGAAGTTAGATTTGGTCCACGATCCGATCTTCAAACACTGAACTTGTCAAACCTTCCAAGTTCCCAAGACACCCCACCTTATTGTTCCAATTCGAATTAAACTCTAGTTAAATTTACTTCTAATACTAATGTTTGTTTCCATTAGCTTCTTGTTCCTAGTAGTAAGGCCAGGAACCCCTAGTAGCGTCCTTGCTCCTAGTAGCGATGCCGGGAGCCCCTAGTAGTGTCCTTGTTCCTACGGAACTTGTCAAACCTTCGAGGTTACCAAAACACCCCAGTCCCCAAGTCACCTTCCCAACAAATACTGTGGTATTCCGCAACCTCACCTCTGCCCCTCTGTCAATCAAGTCACGGCAGTGGAAGACCTCGCAAGCTTCTTACTGAAAGCTCACCAGCACCTGCAGTGAGCAAAATTCACAAGGAAAAATGTGGTGCATCTGAGGCAAATGCTGCTTGAGCGGTCCATGACGTCAACTGAAGTGCGTTTAGAAATCACAGAGTTGCTGTTGTTTGGTGTGTTGAATTCTGTGTGTTTCCGAGCGAACCAGTTTTGCAAAGATAATAGAAACATCGTGAAAATAGTTTTGTTCATGTGGTTACAAAATGCGACAGACAAAAACCCTTCGAAGTCTTGAACCATGCCAATCACACGCAGTTTCATCACAAGGAAAATCCAACGAAGCACCACGGTTTCAACACATCTTACAACCGCAAAGCGTTCCCAGCTGCGTCTTGTGAATGTGAGTGCATGACCGACTTTGTCCTAATGAGCATCCTTTTCAATGCCACGCACTACGCCACTTTGCTGTAAATTAAGTATTGCAATTGTTGTTGTATGACTGTATGACAATGTCTGCTGTGTCAAAACTTTTGTGCATATTTCCATCTGCTCAAATGCAAGAAAATGTGTATCAGCTTTGAGATTCCAAACCAAAGCAGTTCAATGCATGTCCAGGATAAAACCTAGATGGGTGGCATGAACGTGGTTTCTCATCCGTTTGCATTCTTTGTTGGTTTCAAACATGTGTGTTTCAATAAAAAATCATGAGCATGGTGAACGGTGTATAATTTCCGAAACCGTGGTGTGATTCAAAGTGAATCGACAACACAAATTTTGGTATACAGTCACTATGACACTATGAGGCAGCTCTCCACATCTTTATGCGGGCTAAGTACTGAATCCAAAAGACGGATGCGGTCCTTTTGCTGTGAAGCTTGGGCCTGTATTCGGCCATGGGTACAGTTTCGTTTTGCGCGTGTCATGTACACAGGATTGCTTTCATGCTGACCTGGTTGAACCTCCATGGAAATCGATCACTCCTCCTTCCTGCGTACAGACTTTGCACATGTTCAAGTTCAGTGCATGCCTCCAGTGCTTACATTTGGAGGAAAAATGCACTGCCCTTCCGTTCTCAGTCATGCGCAATTGGCACAACTGATTTTCGACCTTCGTGGCACGGTCGTCTGAAAGCCTGACTTGGATCATAAAATCATCCATCGTCTCCTGTACTGCTTTCAGACGTTCTTCCAACTCTACGATGTATGTTTCCCTACTGAAACACTGCATTTGTGCATGTTCCAGCTCTTTCAAACACTTCTGACTCGCTCCATTCTGGATTGCTTCCTCGCACACCTCCTGCGCTCCTGTAGGCCTTGCTGTTAAGGAGCTTGCTGGCTGTGTGCGTGTCCCCTCCCTCTGCTGAGGGAGTTTCGGGTTGGTGTGTACTGAGAGTCAACCGAATTCATCGCCCCTGTCTCACCTCCTCCCATTTTGGCTTACACGGCCTTTCGAGTTACTCTCCAGGTTGCAGGTTGCCTTTGGGGGCCTGGTCTCGACACGGGGGTGCAATCCTTTTTGCCTTCTTTGCTAGTTTTGAAGATTGGTTGACCCCCGACTTCTGCTGTTTTCGCTTCGCAACTCTTGGCACAGAAAGACAACAGGCCATAGAGCCAATAGGACGGGTCCGCATATAGTGCTAGTTCCTCACCTCCCATTTCCGACTCCTCCGCCTGATCGGACTTAAGAAAGGCAAAGAGAGATGCCAGCTGTTCAGCCATAGCTCCACAGACAGTGTCAAAGTCTTGCCGGGTATGCCTCACTACTTCCCGGGGCAGCTTAGTGAAGTCAACGCCTCGGAAGCTCGCCATCTGTACAGCGTGACCCGCAAAAGCACGCTGATATGCCTCATCCATACACTGATTCGAGCCAGAGGCCATTCTGATGGCAGGTTGGCATGTAGACTTCTAGGGGGTGCCACAGGTGGCTGGACCGGCACGGCAGCTTCTGATCCTGCAGAGGGTGTTGGCTCAGTTGGTTCTGTTGCATCACCTGCCGCAGGTGCCTGCATAGAGAGTTTCTGGAATCGGTGCAACTCTTGCATCGCCCTTTGTTCGGACTGCACTCTGAAGCTTGGTCATTGTCATCTCTGAGGGTCACCTCCGCCGTGGGGCTTGCCTGCTTCACTGTTGCTCCCTCATGGGTATAACCATCTGGCATGTGCGGATCTGCTTTGACCGACACTGAAGCGGGGACCTCTGCGAGACCCGCAAGACCAGCATGGCCACACGGCTCGACTCGAGAGCCAGTGCTGGGTGCTTCCTGTTCCGGGATGCTTGAAAGGCGATCAGTAATGCTCTGGAGCAAGTGGTATGGGTTGGCTGCTTTGGATTTCACTGCACTTGGCTTGTGAGCAGCTCTCCTTGCAGCTCTCCATGTATCCGGTGGGGCAGATTGCTCTTCCTGTTCCGGTTGCCCATTGGGCTGTGAGTACACTACTGGTTCCACCCCTGTTGGGGGAGCTGAGGTGCTTTCGGGCGGCTCTTGTTTCCATCTCCTTCTACGGCCTCCGGAGGATGCAGGTGCACTGGGCCGGTCCGTCACATTAGAAGGACAGCTGCTTGGGCAGTCGCCTTCATTATTCATGACTGCATCTTGCGACTTCTCTTGCCGCGATGCCATCTCGTGTGGTTGTGTGGTGTGCAAGGTGGTGGCCAGTGTCTTCGCACCTCCTTTCTCCTTAGTTGGAGATGTTTCTACTCGCTCCTTCGTTCGCGTGTCATTGCTGGCTGTGGAAAGGGAAGGGGAGGAAAGGACACATGTGTCATCGTCTTGACTTGCTGGCATAGGCATGGAATCGGCTTCGTCCTCTGCACTAACTAGAGTTACGATGCCTTCTGCATCCTTCGTTGCCTCTGGATCATCGGTCGGCGTTTCCTCTTCCCAACCTTCAGCAGCCCTGAGCTGTTGGCTTCTTCCCTAGTTGGTTCCTCAGCACCTACAGGAGAGGTAACAGTAACTACTGTCCTCTCCGTGGATGGTTCCGAGGCCTGCGTGGGGGAGCTTGCAGCTTCATCCTCTTCGCTGCTCACTGAGACCGGGTGGTCCTTGTCGCAGTCGGTGCTGCTCGGAGAGGGGAGCAAGCTCGGTTGTGCGTTGCCATCGTGGGCAGCTGCTTCGTCTTCAGCGGAGCTACTCTCGTGTGCTGTAACCGAACTCCGCTGAGGGCCCGAGCTGCTGGTGCTATCTGAGACCACTTCCGCAGGCCGCCAATAGCAGCCATTCTGTAGCAGCCCTGGTGCCGGGGGTAGGTGAATGAAGGAGTTAGCCTTGTTGAGTTCTGGCTGGCACGTAATAGTAGATTTTGTGCAAGGCTTCGAATTGGCCTTATTAGCAGCATCAGCTGCTTGGCCAGCTGGGTGCCGGATGGTGCTGCCGAAAGTGAACCTCGTGCCCCCTCCTTTGCTAACAGCGTGAAGGAGGCGCCATGATTGAGGGTGGCTTCCATCTGGGACAACCAGCCAATCCGGGTCTGAGCGTCCATCTGCTGCAGAACCAAAGAGGAGTCCGCTGCGGTGCACGGGGTGGTTTCTGCTCATGAGCAGTTTTTCTCCCTTGGACAGTTGGCCTTGCGATGTTAGGACCAGCCGGAGCCTTCGTGATTCGTGATTGCAGCATTCAACGAGGCATACAGGGATTGGGCCAGGTGCGGCTCCATTGCATCACGGAACGCAGTGGTCGAGGCTTGGACGCTTTTCTTTCCTGCCTCGAAGGTCCCTTCAACTCGAGCTTCACTGGATGTTTTGTGACTGGTGTGTACAGTGCAAACTCCATGCAAGAGGGCACCAATGACCCGTGACGCACCAGTGAGGCCATGCATATCGACTGGACACGCTAAGACCGTGAAATCGGTTGCTCTGCTGTGCGCCGTTGGCTCTGGTGTAGCACTCTTGATCAAAGTCAGACTGATTGAGGAAACTGGATTGCCCATGGAGGACAATGCAATGTCTAGCAGTGGCCCCTGCTACCTTGACAGCAGTCTCTACATTTGTGCGCCTCCTTGATTGTTGGCAGAAGCTTCGGAGGCTCTGTGCACTCTCCTTCCTCGTGGTCAGAACGAGGATGTTATCTCGTTCCGCATCCTCGACCGGGAGCCAGGTTTCAATTTGCCTGTAGACTGCACCCGTGGCTTCTGGCGGTGGGTCCGCTCGGGCAGCCTCGCGAGTGTCGTGGTGCATCCATTGCACGAAGCGCAGGCCCGTGGCTCTTGCTTCCTGCTTGCGGATGGAGCCTGCGCCGATGTGCCACTGTTCATTCTTGAGGCCGCAGAGCATTGGATACTGCATCCCAATGAGGGGTTCGTGTACTTCTTGCGCCACCCGCGCGCTGGTGGGGAGCATCACTCTCCACTGGTGCACTCCTGACACTCCTGACCTGTCTGAGGCAATGTTTGCTTGTTGAAACTGAAATCCATGTCCGCGAGTGATAGCATATCCCAAACCTGCAATGAGACCCTCGGGGGTGTCAAACTCTTCCAGCGGCCATGACTTGCAGTGCTTGCAGCGGCAGACAGTTTGTCTACAGCGACTTCGGTACAACCTTTGTAGGAGACCACAAATGACTGCCGGCAGCTCATGTGGCATGTACCAGCGGTGCGCAGCTCGCAAGCCTATGGGGGCCTTTAAAAGCAGGGCCCGGTGCTCTCGCAGGTTGTCTGCCACTCCTCCGGGGCTCTGTTTCGGGTCTCCGAGCAGCAGTCTGAAGAATGGTTGGCGCGGGACGGCTGGGACAAAAGCCGACTTTAGGTCCATATCTTGCTGCGCCTTTCACCCACTAGGATGTCAATGTTTTCCATATGTATCCTCAAGGGTGAATGCATGTGTGCTTTTTGCTCCCAAACCAAACCCGTGGTAGCAATGACAACTTTGGCCTTGGGGATGGCCGCCGCACATTGTTGCATTGCGAGATCGTACTGGGCACTTGCAGTGTTCGCAGCGGCTTCTTCACGTCCAACCGATCGGACAAACAACCTGGCATGCTCATTGCCTAGACACAGCGAGGCTAACAGCTTGGTTATTGCACGGCCCGCTGGGTTTTCCTTGTGGACAACCCCAATTTTTAGGTTGGTAGTCATGGCCAACCATACCAGGAGGAAGGTGAGGGGCCGTGTTTTCCCCGCTCCAAAGACTCCTGCAATTGCCACTGTCGAACGCCCGGTT